CAGGCTGGCTAACAGGGTGTTTTGGGCAAAACCAGCCCAACTTTGGTGTATTCACAGAGCCAGAGGCACAAAACCACCATTTCCACAGGGATTTGGGAATGGGACAGCTCTGGAATGCAGCTTCACCACTCAGGGTCACACAGACCCCCAAAACACAGCCCAGAACAACACGCCAGACCCTGGAAAAGGCACTGCAAGCAGAGTGAAGGATCTGGCTTAGCTCCTACCCAAGCAGGAAGAGCTCTGGCACCCTCCTCCCTTTGGCTGCAAAAATCTGCCTGGCTTCCCCACCAGCAGAACCCTGTGTGAGGAGCCTTTTCCTGGGGGCAAATGGGAGGAGGAAAATGGGACTGAGGGCTCCTGGGCCATTCCCAGCTTGCTCCCACCTTCCCAGGAGCTTCAGCTGCTGCTCCAGAGCGTGAATCCACTGTTGCCATCACTCCAACCACTCCAGTGCCAATGCCAGCAGAGCTGCTGGTGGCATTCCAGCGTGGAACAATAATTACATCCCACAGGGTCCTAACAACCAGGGTCAGTCATTATTCAATACTCAGGTTTCATTTGTTTTATAAAATATCCCCAGAACTTAGAATTGCTCAACAAACTTCAGAGTTGTGAAAGGGAAACACAACAGAGGGACTTGAAATCCCCGAGGAGAAGCTCCAGGATTAACTTTATCCCAGCAGTTCTGCAGTTATCCTGGTGCTGGGGCCACTTCCTCCAGCACCTGAGCCCTCTCCCAGGTGGAAGGTGCTGAAAAAGTCAAGCCAAAGCTCACAGAAGAAGGGAACACAATTGGAATTCTCTCTCCTTCATCCCCTGCTCAAGAGAAGATAAGGGTTATGGAGGAGAGAAAGGAAAACACATCCAAACCCCGATTTGGGGATTTCTGACTTCTTATCCTCTCCCAAATCTCCTGATTTTTGGAGTATTTCCCTTCTTTTCCTCTCCTCTGATCTTCCACTTTCAGCTGTATTTTTACTTCCTCTTTTCTCCCCAAATCTCCCAATTTTCAGTGTCTTTACCTTCCTCTCCCTCTTCTCTTCCTAAACCTCCCAATTTCAGGTGTATTTTACTTCCTCTCCTCCCACATATCTCCTGATTTTCAGGTGTATTTGATTCCTCTTCCAAATCTCCTGATTTGGGCTGTATTTCCCTTCTCCTCTCCCAGATTTCACTGTATTTGCATTTTCTCCCTCTCCTCTTCCAACCCTCCAGATTCTGGGTCCATCCCTGCCTCCCCAGGCTCCTCACACCCCAGCTGGGAAGGATCCAGCTCCCTCTCCACAGGCACAGCCCTCTCCCTGCTCATCACAACTGCAGATCTCAAACTGGGGCAGCTCTTTTAATGGAGCTGGGAAGGATGTGTGGACTCCAAACTTCAGGAAAATTCCATTCGTTTTTTCACCAACCCTCTCTGAAAGGGTTAGAAACCACTCAGGGAATGACAAGAGACCCTGCAGATCCAGACAGTTTTATGTGGGATAAAAAACCCTTCCTCAAATCCTCGTGGACTTTTCCACCAGCTTCTAGGGCCTCAGTGAAAGGATGTTCCCACTGCAGATAATTCCTCCTGGGAATCCCCTGCTCTGCTTTACCTGCACACCAAGAAGGATGTGTGTGGGGAGATTCCAGCATTTCCTGGTATTCCCAGGAATTACCACACTCAGCTTTAAAACCAGGAAATACCTGAGGGAGATTTGCAAGTGACAACCAGGTGCAAACCTGACCTGGGATCCGGCAGATGGAGAGGGAGGTCCAGATCAACATTCCAATTACTCCTAAAAAGCTGCAGACACACCAGGAAGTGCAGGAATTTTCCTGCCATCCAAAGCCAACAGCGACCCAAAATCAGCTGCTGCTCTGAGTTCTAAAGCCTCACCTGGTTTTTAACACATTCCAGCTGATGACTGTATGATTTTTGGGATACTCCCCCCATTCCATGTTTGCTGATAAGCCTCCAAGCCTTGGGTGCTTTAGAAAGAATGTCATACAAAAATATGAGGAAAGAATTATTCCATTCCAGGGAAAGTGCAAGTGTTGCTTATTAACACCAAAACAAACACCTGGAGAACAAAGGATTCTCCTGACACGCAGCCAAGAGCTTTTCCATGGACACACTAAGTACAAAGCTCAGAGCAGCTCCTGCAGGGAGTGAAGAAAAAAGGCTAAATGGGAAAGAAAAAGGATTCCTGGAGCAGGATGCTTCCTTCACACATCCTGCTCTAACAGGACCCACTCAGTGCTGCTGTTCAGATCCTCACAGACTCCATCTGTCTCCTCCGAGACAGAAAAATCAGGATAACCAAAAATATACACCCAGAGCTTGAAAAGAGAAATCAGCACGAGCAGATGGTTCATCAGCCCCGAGTGGTGCTTACAAAATTGTGAGGATTTGAAGAGAACTCCAGAGTCCTACGCTGGTTTGGGTTAGGAGCTCATCCCATGGCAGGGACACCTTCCACTGTCCCAAGTTGCTCCAAACCCTGTCCAGCCTGGCCTTGGACACTTCCAGGGATCCAGGGGCAGCCCCAGCTGCTCTGGGCACCCTGTGCCAGGGCCTGCCCACCCTCCCCAGGTGGGATTTCTCCCCAGCATCCAATTTCTCCCCATTATCTCATCTCAGTTTGCTCGCCCAGCCTTCAGGGAGGGCAGCTTGTGCCTCCTCTGAGCTCCCATCACCACTTCCAAGAACTCCAAAACACAGATCAAACCAGCAAAGCTCTGCTAAAGGGGAAATCCATTTTACCGTTTTACCCCAGCTCCCGGACCAGCAATTTAATTCCAGCCCCAGCATTCCCTCCCTTCCATGCCCGGACCCAGGCATGAGCCGTGCCGCTGCCAGGCTCAGCCCAGTCCCACCCGGGAGGGAGCACGGGGAATTCCACCGGGACACCGAGGGGACATTCCATCGGGAAAAGCCATGGGCCGCATCCCAGGACAGCCCAGAACACCCCCGCCCCCCACTAGAGTGAGATAAGCCATGCCCTCTCCCTTGGAAGGGGACAGGGAACCCTCGGGACCGTCCTCAGCACCCGGGGATTCCTCGGGATCCACCTCAGCCCTGCCATGGATCCCGAGGGATCCACCTCAGCCCTGCCATGGATCCCTCGGGATCCCTCGGGATCCACCTCAGCTGCCCCGGGGATCCCTCGGGATCCACCTCAGCCCTGCCATGGATCCCTCAGGATCCACCTCACCCCTACAGGGATCCCTCAGGATCCACCTCAGCTCCCCCCGGGGATCCCTCGGGATCCACCTCAGCCCCCACAGGGATCCCTCGGGATCCACCTCAGCCCCACAGGGATCCCTCGGGATCCACCTCAGCCCTGCCATGGATCCCTCGGGATCCACCTCAGCCCTGCCATGGATCCCTCGGGATCCACCTCAGCCCTGCCATGGATCCCTCGGGATCCACCTCAGCCCTGCCATGGATCCCTCGGGATCCACCTCAGCCCTGCCATGGATCCCTCGGGATCCACCTCAGCCCCACAGGGATCCCTCCTCAGCCCATCCGGGATCCCTCGGGATCCTCCTCAGCCCATCCAGGGATCCCCCCATTTCTCCATTCCCAAACTCCTTCCTGAGGGCGCAGGGCCCCCTTTGTCCCCCCAGAACCCCTCCGGAGCCCGGAAGGCCGCATTCCGCTCTCCCCCCCGGCCCCTCCTCACCGAGCAGCAGCAGCTTCACCTCCTTGGCCGCCTTCTCGCCGTCTTCCCGCAGGTTGCGGTCGATCATTTTACTCCTCTCCACCGCCGCCTTATCCTCGGCGCTCAGCGTGCACCCCATGGCGGCGGCGGGGGCGGCCGGGCGGCCGAGAGCGGGGGGACCGGGACAGGGACCGGGATGGGGCCGAGACCGGGATCGGGATCGGGGCCGCAGCTGCCTCGGCCCGGGCGGCTCCTGAGGCGGCGCCGGATTTCCTGTCCTGGCCGCAGGGCACGCCGGGAAATGAAGTCCCGCGGGCTGATAGTGCGAGTACCTCCGCCTCGGTAGAGCGGGGCATGATGGGAGGAGACATCATTTTCCGCCACGTTAGAGCGGAGTATGATGGGGGGGAAAGCGCTTTACTTCCGCCTCGGTAGAGCGAGGTGTGATGGGAAATATGTTACTTCCGGCTCTCTTCGGCGGGCATGATGGGAGTTGTAGTCCTCGCGGGGGTCTGTAGGGTCCGTGGCGGCCCCAGCCCCCAGCCCGCCCTCATGAGGGGGCCCAGGCTCCGCACCCCCAGAGGGCCGGGCCTCGGCTCCGCGGCTGTGGGGCGGCCTCGGGGGAAGGGGAGCTGCTCTCCGGGGCTGAGGAGGGGTCTCAGGGCCATGGGGGGATAGAGGGGACCCCATCCGCAGGCAGCCCCCCCTCCCCGCCCCTCCCTGGTTGTAGAGGGACCACCCCTCCTGGGCAGACCCCAAACACGAGCCCCCCACTCTTATCCCTGTGCCCCCAGCTGCTGCCCCCCAGCCGCGGTGGTGCCACGGGACCCCCGATCCCCGCAGTGCTGACCCCCCACCACATCTACCCAACGAGGGTGGTGGGACCCCCCCGTCACCTGCGATGGCAGCAGTGGGGACCCCACACCCCGATGAGCGTGGTGGGACCCGCAATCCCCCACGGCAGGAAGGACCCCACACACATCAGCAAGAGTTGCAGGACCCTCAAATCCCCCACTGTGGTGACAGAGACCCCCCAAACCTCAATGAGTGCTGTGGGACCCCCCACAGCAGTGAGAATCACTCCCACCCCAGCAAGTGCCATGGGACCCCCAACTCTCCATGGCTGCAGCAAGAAGCCCCCACCCCATCACCCCAGTGGCCCTTGTGGATCCCCCAATTCCCTGTGGCTGCAGTGAGGACCCCCCACACTCCATGGCAGCGTGGTACTCCCAGCCCAGTAAGCACCTGGGGACCTCCAACCCTCCATGGCGGTGATGAAGCCCCCCCTCAACAAGTCACTGTGACCATCTCTCCCCTCACAGCCACATTTACCCCAAACCCCCCCAAACGCTACAGCCCCGCCTTGGCAGAGCCCGCCACGGGCACGAACACCCCGCTGCCCCCACCCCACTCCATCGCCTCGGCCGCCTCCTCCTCGATCTGCCCCGGGATGCGGAAATCCACAGGAGGAAGGTCCCGCTCGGGGTTGGGGGGCTCTGGTGGGCGCCCGGTGCTCTGGAGGAACTGTAGGAAGTTCTCCTCGATGGAGCCCTCGCGGCTCGGCAGCCGCAGGTCCTCCTCCGGGGGCTGCTTGAAGAAGCAGGTGAGCAGCCGGCCGAGCTCCCCGCGGATCTGCCGGTTGAGGCAGCCGTAGAAGAAGGGGTTGGAGGTGAAGCAGCAGAACCCCAGCCAGGTGACCACAGTCTCAGCAGCCGGCCCGGCCAAGGGCCGAGTGCTCAGCGCCGTGTACAGCTGGAAGGAGAAGTAGGGCAACCAGCAGAAGAGGAACTGGCCGCCCACGGCCAGCAGCACGGCGGCCGCCTTGCCCCCGCCAAACATCCTCTGTGGGGTGGTCCGAGGAGCCCCCGAGGTGGTGACCATGGTGGAGCGGCTGCTAAGCGACGCCGAGCGCCGGCGCGGCGTCTCCATCCAGGTGGGCGGCGGGCCGTGGTGCATGGCTGCCACCCGTGCCACCTTGAACATGCCGCAGTAGACCACGACGATGATGAGGAGCGGCAGGACGAAGTAGAAGGCGGCGAAGAAGACCACGAAGACCTTGCAGGACGGCCCCCGGCTCCACTGCAAGGAGCAGCCGTGAGCGCCGGGCGCCGGTGGGCGGTCGGGGGACAGCCAGCCCAGCACGGGCACCAGCGAGGTGGCCACGGCCTTGAGCCACACGCCGGCCAGCACGCCGGCCACCAGTCCCGCGGTCATGCGCACCTCGTAGCGCAGCGGGTGCACCACGTAGTAGTAGCGCTCCACGTTGACGGTGGAGATGGACAGGATGCACATGGAGGTGAGGCACACGCTGAGGAACAGGTACACGCGGCACACGGCCTCGCCCAGCCCCGGGCTCTCGAACACGGCCGAGCCCGACAGCATCTCCAGCGGCATCAGCGTGAGGGCGGCCAGGAAATCCACCAGGCACAGGTGGAACACGAAGACGAACTTGCGCAGCGCCGGCGTCTTGGCGATGACCGTCATGACGGCGGCGTTGCCCACGATGGCCGTGAGGTCCAGCAGCACCATGAAGAACAATCCCACAGACTTGGAGGCCGTGTCCTTGGGCTTGGCCTCGGCCGTGCTGTTGGGGGGCCGGGCCCCCCCTCTAGAGCCGTTCCAGCCCCACGGGGAGGGCAGGAAGGGCTCCATCCTGTGCCGCCGGCCTGGCGGCGAGCGTGGCGCAGCCGGGCATCGCCAGAGGGTCACATCCTTGGTGGTCCGCGGGTCGGGGGGCGCTCAGAGTACCCAAAGGTGCCCCCCAGCCCCGCTCAGGTCCCCGCTGCGCAGCGAGGGGGTACCTGGGGGAGGTGGAGCCGTCACTGGAGGGGGCAGGAGCCTGGAGGGCCCCTGAGCGCCGAGCTGGACCCCCAGTTGCAGCCCCCAGGTACCTGGGGGGAGGTGGAGCTGTCAGAAAAGGGGGAGAGACTCTGAAGGGACTCCTGAGAGATGAGCAGGACCCCCAGTTGCATCCCCCCCAGTACCTGGGGTGAAGGTGGAATTGTCATGGTGGGGAGACCCAGGGGGGAACCCTGAGAGCCCGGGGGGCTCACGGGTCACCTCTGACAGCCACGGCAGAGCCACGGCTGTGCTGGGGGAATGTGGACTTGTCAGGAGGGGACACAACCCTGGGGGGACCCCTGAGAGCTGAGCTGGACTCTCACCTGCACCCCACAGGTACCTGGGGGCAGGTGGAGCTGTCAGAAGAGAGGGGAAACCCTGAGGGGACCCCTGAGAGCCATGGTGGGATCACAGCTGACCCTTGAGTGACACAGGGTGGGGCTCAGCCCAATTGTGACCCCCATCCACAGCCCCCAGGCACCTGGGGGAAGGTAGAGCTGCCAGAGGGGACAGAGAGCTCTGGGGGACACCTGAGATCCCAGGGAGGGTTCAGCACAGCTGTGACACCCCCACACATAGTCCCCATCACCCCCTATCCATCTCCACAACCCCCTACATCAAATCCCTTCCTCAACCAAAAGCCTTGTTCAGCCAAAAATAAGCAATTCTGGGGTGAACCCCCCCTAATTCCAACGTTTCAACCCAAAACACCCCAGTGGAGCCCTTTGCCCAGAGTGTGGGGACCACACGGGGGGGCCGGGATGGGTGGGGGGTCCCGAGAATGAGGATAGGGGAGGGCCCAGCACCCCCAAGTCCTGGATTCACCCCTCGTGCTTGGAGGCCTTGTGTGACCCCCCCCACTCCGAGCTCACACCCCCTCCATGGGGACATGAGGGGGATGTGCGGGCTCCCCCGGACCCCCCGGGTGTTCCCCACGGGGGCGGGGGTCCCACCCCTGCCCCCCGAGGGAGGGATGCTGACTGAACGGGGGTGCAGCCGCGGCTCCCCCTCCCCTTCTCACTGCCCATGTCCCTCTGCTAGAGCCCCGGAGCGATGTCACCGCTTGGGGACCCCCCTCCCAGCCCCGGGGGAGTGTCGCCCACCTCCCCGGTATGTCCCCACCTTCCCAGGCCGTGGTCCCGGCGGGGCTGCTCGGCCGCGGCACCTACCCTGGGGGTCTGCATGGAGCCGGCCTGAGCCCGTGGGTCCCCGCTCCGGCCGGGGGAGGGGTCGGGGCTGGGGGGTGTCCCCGGGGTGGCGGGGGATGCTCGGGGCTGGAGCCACTGCGGCGAGGGCTGCTCCGCACCGCGCGGCTGCTGGGTCCTAGTGCCGCCCGCCTCGCCTCGGTACCCCGGGAACGGCCCCCAGCCCCGGGGCTGCGGGCCCCGCAGTGGCGTGCTCGCTGCCCCCCGAGGCCTGGCTCTGCCCCCCCAGTGGGGAGCGGAGGGTGGGACACCCCCGGGTGCTGCCCCGCGTATTGCTTCGTGCCTCAGTTTCCCCGTTTGCCTCCCGAAAGCGATGGGGAGGGCACGGGGCCGGCGCTGGGGGGGAGAAGAACCTCGGGGAAGGGGGAGCTCGGGGGGTGTAGCGGGGAGAGGCGGGAAGGGGAGATGGGGTGCAGATTGGCAGTGGGGGGCACAGGGTGGGGCTGCGGAGGGTGCCGGGGGAGCTCTCAGAGGGGCCGCAGAGACCCCCCACCTCCCCCTACCCCCAGCCCAGCGCTCTTTCCCTCGCTCCCAGTTCAGCAATGGAGCAAATGGGATGGGGGCCGTGCCCCTCCCCGCCAGGCCACGCCCCGTGCCTCAGTTTCCCCAGGACATGGCCGTTCCCTTCCATGAAGGGGTGGGTGCCCGTCTTTTCCATCCCTCCCCAATCCTGCTCGGGCTGCGAACTTTCCCCCTGCAGTGCCCTGGCCCCCCTCCCAAGGGTGCCGGGGTGGGATGCGCGGCCACCATATCCCATTCCCGGGATGGGGGTGACAAGTGATCCGTGGGTGACGTGTGTCCCTGCGCGTCACGTGGCCATTGCCAGGCTACGGGCTCCCAAAAATAAATCCACCCAAACCAGATTAGAAACGCCCGACCTCGGATGAACCAGCCCCGGCATTCCGGGGCCCGCGGGCGGCTCCCGGTGGGTCCCCGGGCACCGGGAGCACCGGGAACACCGGGAACAGCGGCACGCGGGCTCCCGGTGAGCAGGAGCACGGCGGATCCATGGGGATCCCTCCTGCCCGGCTCCGGCCCCTGTGGGGGAAGGCGAGTGTGGGAGTGAGTCCTGGTCCACCGAGTGGGGGGACACACGGAACCCCCCTTTTCCTGGGAGCCCCTGTGGGCACCGTCCCCTTGTGTGGGACACCTGAGGACACCCCGCCGTGGCAGACACCCCGCTCTGGTACCCCCGGGATCCCTGACACTGCTGGCACCCACACCCCAGTTCCCAAGCACCCCACCGTCCCAGCCCCTGGCATCCCAGTACCAGTATGTTGGTACCCCAATCCTCAAGCATCCCCTTATCCTAGCACCTTGGCACCCCAGTACCCCAACATCCTGGCACCCCAGTAATCAATAGCTTGGCACCCCAGTACCCCAGCGCATGGCACAGAAGTACCTCAATACCTCAGCACCCTGGCATCCCAGTCCCCCAGACTCCATCACCCTGGTACCCCAGTGCCTCAGCACCCTGGCACCCCAGCAACCGAACATCCCAGTGCCCCTGAGCAGTGGAACCCCAGTACCTCAGTGTCCTGGCACCCCACTATCCCAGCATCCTGGCACCCCCCACCCCAGTTCCCAAGCACCCCCTTGTCCCAGCCCCTGGCATCCCAGTACCCATTACTTTGGCACCCCACACCCCAATCTCAAGCATCCCCCTATCCCAGCACCTTGGGCCCCCAGCACCTCAGCATCCCTTCATCCCAGTACTCAATACCTTGGCACCCCAGTACCCAGCATCCTGGCACTCCAGGACATCAGCACTACGGCATCCTAAGACTGCTGACACCCCAACATCCTGCTACCCCAGCTCCCCATTATCCCAGGACCCTGGAACTGCAGCAATCCAACACCCCAGTGCCCCCAGCCAGTGGTACCCCAGTACCTCATTGTCCTGGCACCCCAGAGCCCCCGTACTCTGGCCCCTCAAGAACCTCAACATTCGAGCACCCCAGCACCCCAATACCCCAGGCTATCCATCCCCCAGCACCCCAGCCCCTGGCACCCCAGTGCCCCAATACCCTGGGGTACTCATCCCCCTGCACCCCAATACCTCAGTAGCCAAATCCTCCAGGACCTTGGCACCCCAGCACCCAATGTCAGGAAACCCCAGCACCCCGGCACCTCAGCACCCCAACACCTCGGGGTACCAGTGTCCCAGTGGCCACCCCTGGCACACCAGTACCCGCATCGCTGTGCCCTCTGCAGACCCCCTGATGGACACGAGGGTTAAACACGTTCACACGTGTGTGTCTGTGTCTGTGTGTCTGTGTGTGTCTGTGTGTCTGTGTGTCTGTGTGTGGTACTCATCCCCCTGCACCCCAATACCTCAGTAGCCAAATCCTCCAGGACCTTGGCACCCCAGCACCCAATGTCAGGAAACCCCAGCACCCCGGCACCTCAGCACCCCACATGTCCCAGTAGCCACCCCTGGCACCCCAGTACCCCCAACCCTGTGCCCTCTGCAGACCCCCGATGGACACGAGGGTTAAACACGTTCACGTGTGTGTGTGTGTGTGTGTGTGTGTCTGTGTGTCTGTGTGTCTGTGTGTCTGTGTGTGTGCACAAGTGTGATGGGCACACACATGTCCCTGGGCTGTGCACACGTGTGTGTGTATGTGTGTGTGTGTGTGTGTGTGTGTGTGTGTGCACACCTGGGTACACGCTTGTGTCATGTGTGCCTGCCTGGGAGTCACACACATCTGGCGGATAGATCTGTGTGCACACACGTGTGAGGGACACGCACACATCCCTGGGCTGTGCACACGTGTGTCTGTGCCTGTGTGCCTGTGTGTGTGCGTGTGTGTGTGACACACATGTGCTCCCATGTACCGCATGGCCCCGGGACCCCTCCTGCTATCCCCTGGGACACCCAGGGCCCCCAAGGACCCCCAGATCCCAGCGCTGCCCTGGGGATGTCAGGCTGTGGGTGGGGCTGGCTGTCGGGAAGGGTGTGGGCAGTGGGTCTGGGCAGGGATTAACTCCCGGATTAAAAATGGGAAAATAAGGACGATCCAAGGACAAAATTCCCTGTCTGATTAAGGGGGGGCATCCAGCCGGGGGGGGGGGGTGAAGGGAGCAGGGTGAGGGGCACCCTGAGGACATCCTGTTCTGTGTTCCAGGGGCTCCTTTTAATCCCTGCCCCCCTTCACGATAAAAAGCTGCATCATCCCAGCATGGTTTGTTCCAGCTCTTTTCCCTCTAATTTTGGACCCAAAATCCGGCACAAATGTTTGGATCTAAAAATACTGCCGGGAAGCAGAGCCACGAGTGGGGGGTGCGGGGCTCCCTGCTGGCTGGGGCCGGGACACCCAGGAGTGCCCCTCGGGGGGCTGGGGCAGGGGAGTCCCCTCTGTCCGGTGGGGGGGGGCTGTGGGATGGGGTCAGGACTTGGGAGGGATGGGGACTGTGGGGCTGTGCTGTCAGGAGAGGGGATGGGAGTGGGATGGGAATGGGGCTGACAGGATGGCATGGGATAGGATAGGATGGGGATGGGGATGGGATGGGGATGGGGATGAAAGCCGTGATTACATTGGATTGGATTGGATTGGACTGGAGTGGATGAAATAGAAATGGATTTGAGAACAGCAATGGGATGGGATGGGATGGGATGGGATGGGATGGGATGGGATGGGATAGGATGGGATGGGGATGATGGGGATAGGGACAGAGGACAGGGATGAAAATGAGGATGGGGAGAGGATTGGAATGGGAGATGGGGATGAGGATGAGGACAGGGATGGAAGGGGGATGATGGGGATAGAGGACAGAGATGGGAATGAGGATGGGATAGGGGAGAGATAAGTGTGAGGATAGAGATGGGGCATAGGGATGGGGATGGGATTGGGATGGTGGAGAAGGGGACAGGGATAGGGATGAGGATAGGGATACAGGATAGGGATGGGAACAAAGAGAGCCATGAGGATGGGGGTGGGGAAGGAGCTGGGGAAGGAGAGTTGGATGAGGATAAAGATGGGATGGGGACAGGAACAGGGATGGAGAGGGGAGTGGGCACGAGCCGGGACAGGGATGAGGACGGGGTTGGACACAGGGCTGGGGAGGGAAACGAGCACAGGGCCGGGAGATGGGGTCGAGGTCGGTCATGGGGCCGGGGGCTGGAGGCAGACATGGGGCAGGGGTCAGACACGGGCCCGGGGCAGGCGTCGGGCACGGGGCTGGTGTCACACACGGCCCGGGGCTGGTGTCAGACACGGGCTGATGTCACACACGGGCAGGTATCACACACAGTGCTGGTGTCACACACGGGCGGCGTCGGACGCGGGGCTGGTGTCGGACACGGAGCCGGTGTCACACACGGCCCGGGGCTGGTGGCACACACGGGCTGGTGGCACACACGGGCCCGGGGCTGGTTCACGGCCCGGGCCGTGCCGGTGCCGCGGCGCCGGGCGGGTTAAGCCGCGCGCTGCCGCCATTGGCGGAGCGCGGAGCTGCCGCAGCCAATGGGGACGGGCCGTGCGCACCGGGCCGGCCCCAGACCCCGTCCCGGGGCGGATCGGGGCGGTTCGGCCGCGTTCGGGCCGGGTCGGAACCGTTCGGCCACGTTCGGGCCAGGCTCGGCTCCGCTCGTCTCAACTCGGGCAGGATCGGGAAGGTTCGGCCGCGTTCGGGCCGGGCTCGGCTCTGATCGGCTGAGCTCGGGGAGGATCGGGGAGGTTCGGCCCGGCCCGGTTCGGCCTGGCTTGGTTCGGCGCGGCCCGCTCGGCTTCCTTCGTCTCGGTTCGCTCGTCTCAGCTCGTCTCGGTTCGGCTTCTCTCGGCTTGGTTCGGCTCCGCTTGACTCTGTTCGGTTCGGTTCGTCTGGGCCCGGCCCTGCCCGGTCGCCGCCGCACCGGGCCCGGTAACGCTCCGACCCCATCCCCGGTCCAGGCCCGAGTCCAGCCCCGGTAACGCCCCGGGAGGAAGGGGGAAGGGAGGGAGGGAGCGAGCGAGCATCCTCCGCCGCTCCGTCCGCAGCACGGCCGGGACCGGGGGCGGGGGGGGAGCGTGGCCGGGGGGAGCAGCAGGAGACCCGGGCCAGACGTGCCCCGGCTGGGCCGTGACAGCGGGGACATGTCGTGACAGTGGAGACAGAGCCACCCTGCACCGTGACCTGGTGGGCAGTGACCCAGGGACACCCTGTGACCCCAGGAGCGAGCCCCCCTAGCCGTGACACTGGGGGAGCACCGGGGCACAAAGCCATTCCATGTCGTGACACCGAGGGAGCACAGCTGCCCCAGCAGTGATGCTGGGTGCATGCCACGGCACTTGATGACAGCTCTGTGACACCAAGCTCCATGGCACCAGGTGAGCAGCCAGACCAGCACGTGACACCGGGGGGACCCCACGCCTGGCAGGTGCTGTGACACCGGGTGACCAAACCACGCTGTGCCATGACTCTTCGGTGAGCCTTGAGCCTGGCACGTGCTGTGACACTGGGTGACCAAAGCCAGCCTGGACTGTGACAAGTGATCAGCCAGCCTCGCACCTGCCACCGGGTGACCAAAGCCACCTTGGACTGTGATAGCAAGTGACCAAGCCATGACACCTGGTGAACCCTCAGCTTGGCACCTGCTGTGACTGAAAGCCACCCTGTGCAGTGACACTGGGTGACCAAGCCACTCCACATCGTGACACCATGTGAAGCCCCCCCCACTCTCCACGCTGCATTGTCCCCGTCATGCCACCATCCCGTCAGTGCGTGGCCATGCGTGTCCCCGTGCTGTCCCTGCTGCTGGCGCTGTCCCTGCTGTCCCCGTGGGGGTCTGCGGCCGGGAGCTGCCCCCCGCGCTGCGTCTGCGCCTCCAACCTGCTCAGCTGCTCTCAGGCCAACCTGAGCGCGGTGCCGGCGCCGCTGCCGCGCTTCACGGCCGTGCTGGACCTGAGCCACAACAACGTGACGCGGCTGCGCGCGGACTGGGCCCCGGCGCGGCTGCCGCACCTGCACGCGCTGCTGCTGAGCCACAACGGGCTGGCCTTCGTGTCCACCGAGGCCTTCGCCCACGTGCCGCGCCTGCGCCACCTCGACCTGTCCTCCAACCGCCTGCGGACGCTGGACGAGAACCTGTTCAGCGACCTGGGCGAGCTGGAGGTGCTGCTGCTCTACAACAACGAGATCGCCACGGTGGATCGCACGGCCTTCGAGAACCTGGGCCGGCTGCGCAAGCTCTACCTGGGGCAGAACCGCATCGCCCGCTTCCCGCTGGAGCTGCTCCGGGAGGGCTCCCGGCTGCCGCAGCTGGCGCTGCTGGACCTGTCGGCCAACCGGCTGCGGGCCGTGCCCGCGGGCGAGCTGCAGGCGCTGCCCGCCTGGCTGCGCGACCGCCTCTACCTGCACAACAACCCCCTGGCCTGCGACTGCCTGCTCTTCCAGCTGCTGGACCGCGGCCGCCGCCGCCACCTCAGCGCCGTGGAGGATTTCCAGGATGAGCTGCGCTGCTTCCCGCCCGGAGCCACCGCTCTCGTCAAGATCCTGGAGCTGGCGGGCAAGCCGCCTCTCAACTGCAGCAAGGCACGGGAGGCCGTGCTGGAGGCGCACCTCGGGGACAGCGTGACGCTGGGCTGTGACAGCCGCTGGCAGGGCGTGCGCAGCCGGCACTGGGTGACCCCGGGCGGGGAGCGGGTGCTGGGGGACGGGGGCAACGGCAGCGTGGTCCTGCTGGCCAACGGCAGCCTCCAGCTGCGGGCGCTGCGCCCTGAGGATGCCGGCACCTACTCCTGCTGGGTGGCCGGACCCCTCCTCAACGAGACCCTCTACGTGGAGCTGCTGGTGCACAACTTCACCCTGCACGGCCCCCACGACACCCTGAACACGGCCTACACCACTCTGGTGGGCTGCATCCTGAGCGTGGTGCTGGTGCTCATCTACCTGTACCTCACCCCGTGCCGCTGCTGCTGCTGCCGCGGCACCGAGAAGCCGCCGGCGCCACGCGACGACAGCATCAACTCCTCGGTGCTGAGCACCACCCCGAACCACGCCGGGGGCACCGGGGAGCCCTGCGGGTCCCACATGGCCTCCAGCGCTGGCACAGGGCAGAACGGCCGGTTCAAGGGCGGGGGGACCCCCCCGCTGCCCGCCCGGCAGGGCCCCAAGGCGCAGAGGAAGGTGTCGGATCCAGACTCGGTGAGTTCCGTCTTCTCCGACACGCCCATCGTGGTGTGAGGGGACGCTGTGGGGACAGTCCCCAGGGACACCCCGTGTCAGCCACTGCAAGCTGTCCCTGGGCAGGAGGGGTGGCCAGACGCCCACTGCCGTGTCCCCAGCTTGGGGGGTCACACCATCACACCCCAGGACTGAGCATCGCTGCTGGCCCCACCGAGGTCACCGACACCATGGGACAGTGAGGGACTAAGATGTGACACACACTTTGGGGACAGTCTCCCACCACAGTGACCTGTCCCTGGGCAGGAGAGTTGGCCAGACTCCCACCACCATGGCTTCAGCTTTTGGGGGTCCCATCATCACCCCAGGACTGAGCATCGTCCCACACCCCCACTGAGGTCACAAGGGACCGTGAGGGACACAGCGTGTGAGGAGACACACCATGGGGACAGTCCACTGGGACATCCTGTGTTCCTACTGCTGCTGTCACCTGTTCCCCATGGACATGCCACGGGCAGAAGGGGTGGCTGGACCCCTACTGCCATGTCCCCAACTTGGGGGGCAACACCATTGCCCCTCGGGACAGAGCATCACTGCTGGCCCGCACCCAGGTCACTGTTCAGCTGCAAGGGACAAGGATGTGACACCATGGGGCAGTCCCCCACTGTCACCTGTCACCAGGCAGGAGGGGTGGCCAGACCCCCCCCATGTCCCAGCTTTTGGGGGTCCCACCATCACCCCCCAGGACTGAACATCATCCCTGGCCCCTGCACTGAGGGACTGCGAGGGACAAGGGTGTGAGGGGACACGCCATGGGGAGTCCCCAGGGACATCCCGTGTCCCCACTGCCACTGCGAGCTGTCCCCAGGCTGGAGGGGTGGCTGGACCCATCACTGTGTCCCCAGCTTTTGGGGATCCCACCATCACCCCCCAGGACTGAGCATCATCCCTGGCCCCTCCCAAGGTCACCGGGGGACTGCAGTGGACAAGGGTGTGAGGGGACACGCCATGGGGACAATCTCCTGTTGTGAGCTGTCCCTGGGCAGGAGGGATGGTCAGACTCCCACCACCGTGTCCCTCGTTTTTGGGGGTCCCGCCATTACCTCTCAGGACTGAGCATGGCTGCTGTCTCCTGCAAGCTCACCGCAGGACCCCAGGGACACGTCTCTGTGAGGACAGCGTGGCCACCAACTGCAGGGCATCAGCCCCACCAGGCACTGGAGGACTGAGGGACAGTGACACACAGCTGTGAGCCCCCAGGAGCGGCAGCACCGGGCAGAACCCCCCTCCTGCAGCCCCGGCCCCCCCATTCCCCCTGCCCCCTTGGCATGTGCATGGCCAAGCATGAGTCCCCTGGGGAGCATGTGCCACCCCCATGGGGACACCGGGGGTGTGTCAACCCCCTGGGGAACCCCCAACACCTCCTGACCCCCTGCAACCCACAGCTGCAAGCAGAGCCCCCTCCCCCGCAGGGGGTGGGAGCCGGGGGCTCCTGCACCCCAAAAAGGGGGTGCCCCCTCCCATGGGTGCCCATGGGTGTCCCCATGCCAGCCCAGCCTGTGTCCCCCGTGCCCCCACCCCGGACATTCCCCTCCTGCACCGGGCAATGCCCACCGATGCCTTGGCCAAAATAAACGTGTTTCCCTCGTGCCTGTGCAGCCTTCACCCGCCCTTGGGGGGCTCCCAGGGATGTCCCCTTGCTGCCCTGGGGGTGGGTTGGGGACAGGTGACAGTGCTGGGGGACTCCCCGGGGTGAGGCTGGGTGGGGGGCCCTGCTGCCCTTCGCACCCCATCGGGGGGTGAGTTAGGGGGGCAGGGGGAGGCACCCCGGTGACCCCAGTGTGCCCACCCGGGGTCCCTCTGACCCCGACACGCTGTGCTGGGAGGGGCTTCTGAACCCCTCCTATGGCCAGCCCCTGCTCACCCCCAGCACCCAATGACACCCCTAGCACCTCAATGACCCTCATGCCCCCCCAGCACCCCAGATTCCCTGTGGTCCCCAGTACCTGCCCTTTAACCCCCCCAGCCCCCCAGTGACCCTCCCAGGACCTCCCCGCTGTACTGAGGCCACCCTGAAGCAATTCACTGATCTCCCCAGCCCCTTAATGACCCACTGCCCCCCAAGTCCCCAAAGACCCTTTATGGTCCCCTGTAGCCTCCTAGCACCCCAATGAACCCCACTCACCCTTATGAGCCCCCACCTGCCCCCTGAGCACCCCCAAAATCTCCTGTTTGGGGACAGGGGACAGTGCTGGGGGACTCCCCGGGGTGAGGCTGGGTGGGGGGCCCTGCTGCCCTTCGCACCCCATCGGGGGGTGAGTTAGGGGGGCAGGGGGAGGCACCCCGGTGACCCCAGTGTGCCCACCCGGGGTCCCTCTGACCCCGACACGCTGTGCTGGGAGGGGCTTCTGAACCCCTCCTATGGCCAGCCCCTGCTCACCCCCAGCACCCAATGACCCTCATGCCTGTCCAGCACCCCAAAGATTCCCTGTGGTCCCCAGTACCTGCCCTTTAACCCCCCCAGCCCCCCAGTGACCCTCCCGGGACCTCCCCGCTGTACTGAGGCCACCCCGAAGCAATTCACTGATCTCCCCAGCCCCTTAATGACCCACTGCCCCCCAAGTCCCCAAAGACCCTTTATGGTCCCCTGTAGCCTCCTAGCACCCCAATGAACCCCACTCACCCTTATGAGCCCCCACCTGCCCCCTGAGCACCCCCAAAATCTCCTGTGGTCCCCAGTATGCCCCCATCCATTCACCGAGCCTCCCCAGCACCCCAGTGACCCCATTTACCACCACCCAGCACCCCAGAGAATCTCAGTGACCCCACTGACCACTTCCCAGCCCCCCAAAGACCCTTATGGGGCCCTGCCCACCCTCAGCACCCCAAAGACCCCTTTTGCTCCCCAGTTACCCTCCACAGCCCCCCCAACAAGCCCCCAGTACCCCACTGCCCCTCAACACTCTGAACAGCTGCAGTGACCCCTTCCAGCTCCCCAGTGACACTCCCCAAGCCTCCCAATAATTCCCACTGAGCCCCCCCAGCCCCCAAAACCATGGACCGCCAGCACTCTCTTTCCCCCACTCTCCACCACACAACTCTTTTTTTTTTTTCTCTTTGTTTTTTTTTTTTACAAAAAGAACAAAAACAGCAACAACCGTTTCTTATAAATATCCGCGGCCGACGGGGCCCGGGAGGTCCGGGGGGTCCCCAGGGCCGCCCCCCCCTCCCGGGGCTGGTTTAGCAGCAAGAGAACAGAACTGAGAGTTTTGAGGTATTTTCTGGAAGTTTGGGATTTTTCCTTCGTGTTTCCTTGGGATCGTTTTTTCCCTCTTCATCGGTTTTCTGGCGTTTCCCGGTGGGGAGGACACAGGGGGGCCCCCGGTGACCCCTCTGTTAATGGGCTTTGGACTGCAGGGGGGAGAGGGGACGAGTCAGTCCTACACTGGGGACAGGGGACCCACAGGGACCCTCCACAGGCTTAGGGGAGCCCCACGGTGTCCCCAGGCTTGGGGGGTCCTCAGGGAGGTGTCCCCCACAGGACAGAATGTCCCCCCACAGGGCCGGGTGTCCCCTACAGGACAGGGTGTCCCCCACAGGACAGGGTGTCCCCCCACAGGACAGGGTGTCCCTTACAGGAGAGGGTGTCCCTTACAGGACAGTGTCCCCCCACAGGACAGAGTGTCCCGGTGCTCGCCCCCCTCCAGCCCATGCTGTCCCCCCCAGGACAGGGCATCTCTCAGGGCCCAGTGACCCCAATCCCAGCGTTCCCCATCCCTGCTGGTCCCAGTGACCCTCAGGGGGGTTCCCCAGGGTCACCACCCACCCCACCCCCCAGCCCTACCTTCAGGGCGCTCCTCTTCTCCTCGAAGCCCAGGGGTGTCCCCGGCTTCTTCCTGCGGAGGGAGCCCCCCGAGCCGGAGCTGCCGGAGCCGGGGGGCGTGGGGGGCCCGGGCAGGGGGGGCGCTTTGGCCTTCAGGGCTCGGCAGTAGGTGGCCGCGTTCTTGCGCTTCTTCACCTCGTCCTCAGAGAGCCCCCGGGGGGGCCCCCCCAGCCCCAGCCCGTGCAGCGGCGGCGTTTGGGGGTCCAGGGCGGCGGGGGGGGCACGGCAGGGCTGGCCGGGGGGCGGCCGGCGCACCCGCGGGGTCCCGTTGAGGATGGCGATGGAGGGCGAAGCCGGGGGGGTGAGTTTCGTCTTGCCGGGGGGAGCCAAGCCCTGATTTTTGCCCTTGACGCTGTCCCCCAAGCAGGTCCGTTTGTAGGGGGGGCTGCCGGCCGTGGGGGGGGGCTGCCAGGGCCGGGGCTCCGCGTCCGTCCCGCCGGGCGCCTCCCGTGCCCGGGGGGATTTGCTGGCCTTGCTGGGGGGCAGTTTGCTGAAGGAGGGCGAGGGGGTGTTGGCGGGGAGGGGGGAGGTGATGGACTGCGTGCCCCCTCCCCCGCACTCGGGCTGGCTGCAGGCGGCCGCCGCCGGGGGCGACCCCACGGTGTAGGTGAGGCTGGTGGGGACCCGGCAGCCCCCCGCCGCCGAGAGGGTCCGGAGGGGCGGGGAAGGGGCTGCAGGGCCGTAAAGGGGGGCAGCGGGGCTGGGGGGCGCTGCGGGGAGGTGAAGAGCGGGGACGACGGCTGGAGGGATCTTCCTGTGGGAAGGGAGGGGGAGGGTGAGATGGGGAGCCCCCAAAATCCCTGCTCCCAACCACATCCCCCCGGTTCAGGGGAGAGAGGTGAGGTGGGACCTCTCCAAATCCTCATTGCCATCCCTCCAGCTCCACCTTATCCTCCCCAGTTCAGGTGTGGAAAGGTGAGATGGGAGCCCCCACAAATCTTCACTCCCAGCCCTGCAGCCCCACCTTGTCCCCCCGAGTTTGGATGGGAAGGGGTGAAATAGGATATCCCCTCAAATCTCCATTACACCCCAATTCAGGTGAGGAGGGGGTGAACAGAAGCCCCGCCCCCCCCCC